GATACTTCACCAATCTATTTATTCCGGTTAAAAGCTGGTACATACATGCATACATACATACATTCATGCATATTCTTTATTATTTAATTTCTTTAAAAATAGTGCTGGGCGATAATATTTGGTGGCAACAATCTGAAAAGTGATTGAGGTATTTAAAGTCAGACGTCACCAAATCTCGTTTTGACACTAATAGACCATTCGGACTAACACACTTTTGGATTAATCATAAAAAAACCTCTTCTATAAGTTTGAAAAATAATTAAATACTGAATTAAATGAAAACGAAAATATGAAAAATAAAATGAAAGAAATAGAAGAATTATTGAGAACATAAACCACTCACAAGAGAAATTCCAATAAGAGTAATTATTTTGCATTGCCATATTTTAATAAATGTGATAGTAAAATATGATCCTTATGATTTATCTCCATAATAATAAGTTATAGGAAATTAATGTCGAATTTACTACAGAGAAATTCCATATTTTGTGACGTATAAATGATTCAAGGCAGACATGGAATAATAACAAACGTTTAATAATCTAACAAAAGTCCTGAAATTAATATGTAATTATTCTTTTGTGACAGGATTTCGTTATTAATGCGAAGCCAAAGATTTCGTTATTAATGAAACATTTAGTTTCAGGCAATAACCTGTTAATAATATTTAATTAAAGATCCGAAGTTGTTCTGTAGAATTCATCGTAAAATTTTATTTAAAGAGGCATTTTCAATTAATTCTTGTAATAAAAGCTTTCTGCAGCTCTTTGGAATTCAACCGTGTGGCCTGAGGACATCACTTCCTTACGTGCCGAGTTATTGACACATATTAAATATCATAAAACTGGTGAAAATTTACTCAAATATATTGCGTTAAGTTATTTAAAGAAAGGATGAGTTTATATGCATCCATAGATTAACACGTGCTTGCGCTAAATTATGGTAAGAAATGCAGTTGTAGTGATAATTACGCATTATATGAGGAATGTGTGCATATAATTTCTTGACAGCTGACGACTAACAGAATATTATTTATAATACTAAAATATTCAAAGTTGATATTTTCATTTTTTTTTCCTTAGTCCCAAAGGAACATTAGTCCCGAATGGAATACGACATTCTGCGTTGAATCACTATAAATAAGCCGTAATTTTTTCAAATTGTTGCCACCCAATGTTATCACCCTGTGTTAGGTTTAAAGAAATTAAATAATGAAAAGAATGTACGCATGTTTTTCGTATTGTGTTAAAAAACAACGACATCTACACCCATCAAATTTTGAATAACGTGTAATCCTTCACTTAACATGAACACCTTTAAGACCAAATTTTAAAATTGTTGGCTTTCCTCTTATATGCGCCCTAATTTCACCAAATGTGGTAATATGTCTTCTGCGCTGGTTTTTGGCGCGATTGCGTGTTATATGGAAACCCTGCTGACGTTGAAAAATCTTTTCCTGGAGTGGTTTAATTGCTCGTTGGTTCGTGTCGCGCGTGTTTCCATATGGCGTATGTTACAATGAGAGACATGGTGGGAAGATTTTCAGTCGCGTATTTTAGATTGTGTGGAAAGTAAATTTAGTTATTAAAAGGTATGATGTTGGAGTTGTTAACAAGTCTGCTCTGTCTGAGAAGATCGGGGTGTGGGGGAAGATATTGGAAGTGTTTTTGGAAGTTTTTGAGTCGAAGTTTGGCAAACGGAGTGCGAAATGCGGAGCTGCATATGTCGCCAACTCTGACGAAGAAGGCATTTCTGGGTAGTTTGGAAGTGTGGATTTGCAGTTAAATGGTTCAGCGGAGTTTTAAGATTTTTGGATTGTGGTTTTGGTGTAGTAGGTTAACTTTGGAGGAAGTTTTTATCATTACTTACGAAATTTTGAATCTCAGAAAGACATGTGATATACCAAAATCGTGGCACTTTTGTTCAGAGACGTTGTGTGACTGTCGACATTTTATTGAGGAATGTATTATGGTAAGTGCATTTTATTTTACTGTTTTTATTTTGTAGAATGTTCGTTCTTTTTTTTAACTATGATTATTTTTGTTGTTACTGTTATTTTTTGAACTGTTTGTAATTTAGTTTACTTTATTTGGTTATTTTGTGTCCAATGCCTAGTTGTGCAGTTTGTAGATGTTAAGGTTAAACAGGATGATGTGTACGTGGTATTCTTTGAAATTTATTGTTGTTATGCTAATTTATTAAAGCGAGGTGTGCGTAGTTCGTAGATTCGTTCGTTTACTAGATTGTGCAATTCGTAGATTTTTTTTTAAGTTAAAATATATCGCTGTGTACATGGATTCTTGTCAAATATTTTTGGTTAGAAACTTTATGTTTTTGCTATCTAAATTTTTTGTTTTTGTTTCGGATTTTTAGCTCAAATTGTATGTTTAAAACGTGGTTTTTGCGTGTGCAAAAACCTCGTTTTTGGAGGCATTTTGGGCTTAAAGTTCGAAATATAGACAAAAAATTTAGATAGTAATATGGAAGCGTGGAAATTTGGCGATCTGAGGGCGCATATAAGAGTAGTTCCAAATTGTTTTATTATCTATTTCATATTTTGTAAAACTTTAACAAATTTTTTGATTAACAAACTCAATGATTTCATAGCCAACAGTGGCAACGCTTACGGAAAAAATCATATTTTCTCCAGCGCGCGAGAGTGTCTGTCGGAAATTCTACAGACATGTTTTTTTAATTGTTATATGATTTTACCGTTGATTCGAATTTTGTGTGTGGTAAGCGACAAGAATGTGATTTTTAATAAAGTAAACACAAAAAACGCTAATAATAAAAAGACAAAAATCATTTTATCAGCCAACTTACTAAGAAAACTGAATATTGATACGATGAACTGAGAAAACATTGAAAAAAAAAGCAGAAAAATATATGCCACCACTTAACGCTGCATCGAGAATTGTAAACGTCTACTTTTAAACTTTTAGTAATTTTTCTGTTGAATTGTATATGGCGTGAGTGCGAAGAAATTTATCCTTAACAATAAAGCTAAAAAGACAAAAAAAAGAAGGGTTAGTAGACGGTGAGCAAATTCACGTAAATCTTCAGAAATTTTGAATAAAAAGCTCTAATTGTTTGGAGGTATAGTTAGAAATACATCTACTTTAAGATAATGGTAAAAGTTTTATAGGTTCTAATGCAAAAATGTTTTCCAAAACTTTTCAAAATACAAATTTTAAAAATAAATCATAAACAATGGGTGAATTTTATTGGAATGAACTCAAATTTCGAACTGTGAAAGAAGGAATCAAGTAAGTGCAAGAAAAAAAGAGATATTAATAAATACATACCAAATTGAATTAACACTGAGGAGCTAAAATTTTGAGAGAAAAGATTTTAAAAACTACTCGAGCGAGTTCTACGAAACTTGGCAGTTTTGCAAAATTTGAGTCGTAGAATCGAAATATAGAGAAAAAAAGGCATGTCATTTCAGAAAATGTCCGATTTTGTGTCAAAATACCCGTATTAGAACAATGCTATATATAAATCTAATACATATTCTAAGCGCTTTCGATACATGAAAAACGCAATTTGAATTTCGTTAATCGGTCCAGCAGGAGATACAGAACTGTCCCGCTACCCTCCTTTTTTCTTTCGCAGTGTACTATTATAACATATCAACTCTAGGTCCTTTGGAAAGCTTCAATTGCTCATCTGCTTAACCTTTCTTTATAGAGTCTTATAGAGCTTGCGGTTGATCTTTACATTATGGTAACTTGGCGTCTTTTTGGCGAAAATTTGGCGACCAACTCTCCTACAGCAACCCTCTATTTTTTTTTTCCCGCCGCCATTTTGTCTTCACGAAGTAAAGACATGTTTCTTTTCTTTTTATCTACTGAAGACTTCTTCCAACAATCTACTATTAGCCGAATTAACACTTATGCTAGAAATTTTATCTAACAAAACTGCTTAATCATGACAAATATGCACTGCAAAATTGGGAAAAAGTGCACAATACCATACTCCTTACGCGTTTTCAAAATAACACATACACATAAACCATGTACACGCCGACTTATCTTTTACTTAAAAAAACATCCCAGAATTGCACAAAAATGGCATTGCGCACACTCTTCACTATCCATCCATGTACACTGCTTTTTTCTCATAAATTAGAAAAATTTCACGAAAATACATGACAATTTTCTCAATCTTTAAAACCCGGTAAAAAGAACATATATGAAATTACCTGATCGCAAAGAAAAATTTACCCTTTCCAAATATGAACATTTCCACATATAAAATAAATAAAATATCCAAAAACTTTACCTCTAAATCATCTATTACATTATACACGTCACCAACGAATTCATACCGCAACCATTACAAATACTTAGTATCAGATATTTAAATTATTTCCATGCACGTTTACTTCAACTAAAACGTATACCAAATTCCTACAAACATAAAATTCACAAAATAACTATCATTTCATTAAAATATAATTAAATTCAAAACACTACTAAAATATAAATGAGCACATACATTAAATTAATACATACATAATACCCATTTCGAATTCACTTTAGTTACGGCCATGGGATCCAAAAATTCACGAACACTGTTTCACACAACACAGAATAAAGCAAATACAAAATTTCCAGATTTTTTTTCCCCCTTTCCCTTTTCCGATTAAGAACCGTAATTCGTCCATTAATATCACATTACATCCCATGATCTCTCATTTCCCTCACACAAAATAATGCGTAATCGGAACTGAGTACTGCTCACATTATTACCAAAGTGCCAGGTAGTAACCTTTATCGCCTCCAAAATGTCGCCAAACTACCAGTTACCATATTGTAAAGATCAACCGAGCTTGAAAATGTTTTTAACGTTTAGTTAGTATGGGTACATGGTACATCGCTGATGTCCCCCCCAATCTTTTACCTGTACCTGTTTAAATCATTCGCGAAAGAGCGTTTCAATCTTTATTAGGGAAATTTTAATTACTGCAAAATAAAGAAGAAAAATTTCGATAACTGACAAATTTATAGATTTATTAGAAAATCGTTTTTGTTATTTTATTACAGAGGCATGATGGACCATTTAACCGTGAAATGTGACACACACGAGCAGCCATTGGAGAAAAATTTGAATAATAAGTCATTGTACAGGAATATCATTAAAACATTTTTACAGTCCTTTGAAAACCAACAAGCTTCTTGTTGAAATACATAAAGTGAAATCACCGATATTCAGAGTTAAAATTAATGTTTTAAATGCACTCTCTGAGTTCAGTTTTTCTTACGATTTATACTTAAGAAACACTTCTTGTATTTGTAATTCGAATGGGAGATTGAACATCTTCTTTCAAGTATACGTCAGAATCCCACATGCACTCGTCACTGTTCTTTCATATTCGCCAAGCTGGTTCTGAAAATAAAAGTAATATGTATGCATAAAAATCTAAATTAAAACACCCTACATATAAAAATACATATATGGTACAAAACTGTATCGTTATATACCGTATCAAATGTAAATTTAGTGCTGACAGTTGAAAGTGAAATACAACATATACATTCGTAATGCAATGTATAACGTAATGGGCAAAAATTTAAAAGCAAAATATATATTTATTTCTAAAGCGCCCCTTATAGAAATGAAAATTGCAATCTGTAAATAATCAATTCGCTGAATGCATTTCATAACTTCGATTCCAAAGGTAACTGTAAATAAAATTAAAACTAGGCTGATGAATTTATATAAAATCAGCAAGCATTAATACAAATGGAATAGGTCTAAAAGTTGGTATAAATAAATAAAAAAAAAATTCATACACCTTAAAATTACAAATGCATTACACATCATACCTATTTTATTTTAAATCTTATCGAACACTTATAGTTTTAACACTTATATAGTATTTACTTATTATATAAGTACCTTTCTGAATGATTCACCTCTTGTCCCCATGACATTGCGACCACAGCTACAAATCTATCTAAGCAGTACGACAAAAATCACCTCTAGCAAATCACTTCTAGCAAATCACTTCTAGCAAATAACCTCTAGCAAATCACCTCTAGCAAGATAGTTGAAACGTATAGTAGTTTCTAAGCATATAGTAAAATGATCAGCAGAGATTTTTAACTTAATAACTCTATATAGTAAACTGGACAGTTATTCTTACTATATATTATTATTTATATATTATTTTATATAATATATATTAAATTATATATTATTTTAATATATAGAGTCCATTTTATTATATAGAGTTATTCCGTTTCCATTTGGAGGATGAAACATGAAAAATCAGCCCGCTAAAACGTTCTAGAATGATTAGTTTAGATATATTCTTGCTTTGCCGTGAGAGTTGAATTAATTGAATGAGAAATATATTTATAACGAAATTAGAAGAATTAATGTTTAAATGCAATGCAGCAAAAAATGTGTATAACTTAATAGGCCATACAAGGAAGGCATGTCGTGTCCACATTAGATATTTTGCTTTAATAAAATGCACTATGTACTCCTCTTAGTATTCAGTTTTCTTTTCATGTTATTGTTTCTCAATTACAAATATTTTGCTTAATTAAAATATACATAAAAGAAGTTAATTATTAAAATGTTTAAAAATAGCTTTGCATATGTCAATGCCTTTATGTTCAGATCAAAGGCAGATGACTTAGAAAGCAATTTAAACTATGACTACGATGGCACAAATATCCTTCGATTTTTTTTTTTGGCCACCAAGAAGAAAGTTATTATTGTCTTTGTCCTTAAAAACTAAGCAATTATGGTGTCCAGGGAAAAAATCCAATTATTTTCATAAGAATTCTCCCTTTGGATTTCCTTACTCATAAATTCTTTTCTTTCTTCACGAGCAGAGTTTTAAATCCATACTTTATCGTTGTCTGAATAAAAAATTAAAATGAAATTTTCAACGGTTCTTAAAATTTCAATGTAAAGAAACTGATTAATTAAAAACATTAAATTTATTTCAGGTTGCTTAGCAACAATGAGTAATAACTAAGTTTGAAACGTTATCTGGATGCAAGATACGGGCACTCATTAAATGTTTTATCTGAATATCGCATTCAGAGGAATGGTATATTTAAAGCAATTACGAGATCTAAATACATAGAGCATTACGCATTAGAGCGTCTTTCTTACCCTCCAAACCATTTGTGAGAATTTTGCTCCCTTACTGATTTTTCTCTTTGTGAAATTTAAAACATTTTTGAGACAATGTATTTAACTGCTTTTGTTCAAATGTTTTCTGACAGATACGATGCACCATTTCGTCCTTCACTTGTGCCTGATGTAAAAATGAAATATCGCAGCATGCCTATAAAATAATCTAATAGCCAGTTCAAGCAATCATGTGTTTGAAATTAAGTATCTTCTTAGGATAGTACAGCTAATAATAGTAGATAAAAGTATGTTAAGTGTAACATGTATTTTACAGTTCACAAGGGTCCCACCAGGCGATGCTGTGTTGCATAGCTCAGGTTAGTGTGCATGTGAAACTAGTTCCTATTGGACAGGAAATTCATTACGTTATAAGGTATTTCTTCCGCCTTCTTAGCATGCCTTTGTGGTGTGGTGGTCTGCACGCTAGACGTGTATTCCAGAGGTCCGTGGTTCCTTTTCCGGCGAAGCCGCTGCTCATTTTTAATCGTTCCTGCTTTCAAAAATTAAACAAATATCTCTAAAACGTTTACGATTTTCTGTCTGAGATGTTTGCTCTTGATAGCATATTTTATAAGAGGATTTATTTCATTTTCTACACTCAAGTTTTAGATGATATTCAGGCTGTGAGGGTGAGTGAGTGAGTGAATGAGAGGTTATTGGCGCAAAACCAAAGATGATTATACCGCGCCAAACACAAGATGGGATGATTACAATTGATGAAATTAAAATACAATACATAAACGTGTACAAATGTACCAAATCCAGAGGATGAAGTCGTATAAAAACAAGGTAAAAACACACATTAAAATCCAAGACACAATCTTCAATATAATTTACATTAGCTAATAAAAGCCAGTCTCTTTTAAATAATAAAATTAATTGCAATTGACCTCTCTTCCGATTAAACGATCTAGAATTGCGTCACAGCTATTAAAATATTTCTGACGAAGACTATTAAAACATGGGCACTCAATTAAAATATGACGAACAGATATACAAACATTACAATTAAAACAAATAGGCTCAATTTCAGCTTTCAGAAGATAGTTATGTGTCACTCGAGTGTGACCAATTCTGAGGCGAGTCAAAAGAACTTCCTCCTTAGGATTTCCAGTAAAGTCCCAATGCTCAGTTCTAGGCTTCACATTTTTTAACTTGTTGTGAAGCTGAACGTCCCAAATATGTTGCCATTTTTTTTCGGATCTTCAGGCTGTGAGGGAGCATTTGAATAAGTAGTGTTCGGGGTTGGCTCTTTCTCCAGATAGACATCCATCTGAACATGTATGGCATAAATATGCAATACTTACATGTAGTTCCAAATAAAATTGTTGCATTGCGTTCCAGAAGAATAAGTAGCCAGGTAATAGTTGGAGTTCAATGGGTTTGTGGATTTGAATTAACTGATGTTAAAACTTGATGAATGAAAACACAATTTATACGCCATTTCGCTTTATTACAGCTCCAAAGACAGGTTTACACTTGTCGAAAAACTACGACAAACACGCAGAAACAATCAGCAACACAGCCTTCGGGCTATAACAGTGAAAACAACTTCACAGTTGTTTTCACTGTTATATTATTAAGCGGCAAGGCCGTATATATACGGCATAGAATATTTTTTGTGATATCTGTAAGAACGTATATATTCGTGCATATTAAAATATGTCAAAGAAATTAAGGCAATATATCAAAAGAAAACAAATCCAGGTAGGAAATACCAGGAGAGTTTTTACATTAAAATCAGAAAAATAATTTGTTCTCATAGCAGTTTTGGGAAATTTGTGCTTTCTTAGCGAAACCCGGCTGCTCAGAGGGTTAAGATATCAAGCGTTAGAAATACGTTGAAAACAAACCACAGGTGTCGTACATGTGGTAGAATCATTATTTTAAAGCAGGAAAGGTGAAAAAGAAGCAGTGCCCCCGCCGGGACAGAACCCTGGACCTCTCGAATACGCGCCGAGTGTGCTACCGCTACACCACGAAGGCATGCAGTAAGGAGGGAGGAAATATCTTATAAGGTGACCGATGAATGTAATGCACTTAACGAAACACGAATAAAACGTTTCTTAATTTTAAAAGAAAATATCAACTTTACACCCAGTTATAATTCAGTTGGAGACGAAAATAGTTCTCTTGATTCTAAAAAATGAAAACAGTGTAATAATGCACTGATAAAGATGAGTAAATATTGGAAATAATGTCTCTTTCTTATTTTTAACTTTTAACCATCTTTTCTTTTCATGTATTGAAACAAAATAACGATACTCGAGGAGAAGGTGAAAAATAAACTCTCAAGTGGGGGAAAGATAGAAAATAAACATGTAGATTATTTTTCTTTTGTTTTTCTTTAATAAGCAAATGGAAATAGCCGGAGAAGAAACAGCTGCGGAAAAGAAATATCAGGATAAAAAGCCTGCCCTCACTCCTCAGGCTAAATGTTCTTACTTCCCTTTCCCATTTTTTTTCTCATCAAGTTGCAGCGCAGAAGAAATCGATTAAGAAGATTACAATATCATCGTTATCGATTTCGAAAAGATAACGTGTTATCCTTAGTTAGAAGTGTTTAAATACTTTGAAACCAAAATAAGCACTACGAGCTTATTGACTGTCTGAGGACTTTGGTTGGAATTTCTGGTTTCTGAGTTAGTTTAGTAAAACTTTCTAACATTCTCTCTGAACAATCATAAGCATTAACAGACGTTTATAACAGTTTCTCAATTGAGAATTAACTTACTCTTCTGAATAATAGTTATGTGTATTTAAAACTATATAACAAATATAAGTTTTAATGCTGCATGTTCAGAAATTCAGTGCAGTAGAATAGGAATAAGGAAAACTTTAATTTTGGGAGAAGTTGTTTTATCTGCTAAAGACTACTACTACTTCAGTTTGCAATACATAAAAGTTGAGGAATGTTTCAAATAGTGGCTACGATTTTCAAATAGCGGTTTCCACGAAAATAAAATCTAATCAAAAATCTAAAGTATAATAACATAGGGAAAACATGGTATGTACTTAATTTCAGTTGATTTTAATATTATAGTAAATTTTGCCTCATCTTTATCCCATTCGGTTTGAACAACTATGCTATATATTAGGTTATTCATACAGAGGCATAAAAGCAACATTTCTAACCAAACTATGATTATATAATGCTTCGGGAATGCAACCTATTCACTAGGTTAGGTTATTTAATTACAGCAAAGCCTCGAGGGCTATCTGCCTACGAGGAG